AGGAGCCCTCAGGGGATGTCCACTTGCCAGCGGGGAGCAGGCCTAAGCTGCAGTCGGACATCCTTAGCACTGCTGAGGAGGCAGGAGAGGCTCCCACCACCACCGCTGTACTGGCAGCCGTCAGCCTGGCTTGTGCCTAAGCAGAGTTCCCCCTGTGGGAGCGCACTGACCAACAGGGGGCAGCTCCTGCATTGAGCGTCTGCCCCCTGGTGGTCAGTGTGTGTCATAGTGACCAGTCATTCCCAGTCGTTCTACTGTTAGGGTCAATTTGCATATTACCCTTTTATTTTATAGGATAGAGGCCTGGTGCATGGGTGGGGGCTGGCTGGTTTGCCCTGAAGGGTGTCCCTGATCAGGGTGGGGGTCCGGCTGGGGTGCCTGGCAAGCCTGGGTGAGGGGCTGAAGGCTGTTTTCAGACTGGCCACACCCCCTTCAGGGTGGGGGTCCCTGTTGGGGTGCCTGGCCAGCCTGGGTGAGGGGCTGATGGCTGTTTGCAGGCTGGCCACAGCCCCCAGCCACCCAAGCTCCCAGTGAAGGCTGGCTGGAAGCAGGTATCTAGGATTTATTTTTCTTCTATAATTGAAACTTTGTTGCCTTGAGTGGAGGCCACAGCTGGCCAGGGCAGGCAGGAAGCTTGGCTTCCTCCATGGCTGGGGCAACCAAGCCTCCTGCTTGCTCCTGCTCCGTGGCTGCGGGCCGCCATCTTGGTTGGGTTAATTTGCATATAGTCGCCTCCATTGGCTGGTGGGCGTGGCTTGGGGCGTAGCGGGGGGGCAGTCAATTTTCATGTTTCTCTTTTATTAGATTAGACACGAGACCTGGTGCATGAAATTCATGCACAGGGCGGGTGTCCCTCAGCGTGGTCTGTACCCTCTCTAATCTGGGACCCCTTGGGGGATATCTGACTGCTGATTTAGACACGATCCCTGTGGGATCAGACCCAAAAGGCTGTTGGACATCCCTCTCACAATCTGGGACTGCTGGCTCCTAACCATTCGCCTGCCTACCTGCCCAATCACCCCCAACTGCTCTTTCCTGCTGGCCTGATTGCCCCCAATTGCCCTCCCCTGCCAGCCTGATGGCCCCCAACTGTCCTCCCCTGCTGGCCTGATGGCCCCCAACTGCCTTCCCTGCTGGCCTCATCGCCCCCAACTTCCCTCCCCTGCCATCCTAGTCACACCCAACGGAGAGAGATAGAGAGTTAGAAACATCGATGAGAGAGAAACATCGATCAGCTGCCTCCTGCACATCTCCTACTGGGGATGTGCCCGCAACCCAGGTACATGCCCCTGACCGGAATCGAACCTGGGACCTTTCAGTCCGCAGGCCGACGCTCTATCCACTGAGCCAAACCGGTTTCGGCAAATTTATATATTTATACATAGTAATATTTTGGTATTTTGAGAGATATGAAGTAAAATTAAAACATCATTAAATATATATAAATGTATAAAAATACAAAAATATTAATAAATCTTTGAAGATACTGTATTTTATTTAAAACATAAGCAAAAGCTGGAGCTAATAGCTTATTCTACACATCTAATGCTCAGTGTTTATGACCCAGCTAAAGCTTAGTGTCAGAGCATGGCCAGGAAGAAGGATGGAGACTATGTGGTGTCATGGGTTATCAGCAAGGCCACAAAACTGTTTCAATTGTGGTAGAGACAATAAGAGAACTGAAAATCCCCACACCCCGTGGGAGATGTGGTAAGCCAGCCTTCAGTCAAGGGTACCCAGTGATGCAGATTCTTATATCAATTACACTTAATTAAAATAATTCAAGGATGTTTCCTAAATGAAAGATGCCTAATGTAAATTAGAACAAAAAACCATACCATTTTTCAAAAAAAATGTGTAGCTCTGATTTACATCTCTGATTTGATTACTTCATGCCCTTTAAATTTCATAAAGAGACCAAGTGTTTCAACATTATCTGAATGATAGCTCATATTCTTAAAGATCACTATGAAGCCTTCTCTTCTCCTGACAATGAGGTTTGAACATTTACCTATTTTTGCTTTCTAACCTACAACAAAAGCAAGTAGCGGGGGTGGGGAGGGCAGGAGGCTGACCAGCACTGAATAACTTAACATTCTTATGTATTTTCTTCAAAAAACTATTCCACTTAATAATTTTCCCTCATAGTAAATCATAAGTAAATCTGAGTCCATTCTCCAAAATTTTTTAATTAAATTTATTGGGATGACATTGATTAATAAGTCCTATAGGTTTCAAGTGCACATTTCTATGATACATGATTTGTATACTGAATTGTGTGCCCACCACCCAGTCAAATCATCTTCTGTCACCATATATTTGCCTCCCTTTACCCTTTATTATAGCCCCACCCCCTTCCCTCTGGTAACCACCATACTGTTGTTTATGAGTTTCAGTTTTATATCCCACATATGGGTGAAATCATATGGTTCATAGCTTTTTCTGACTGACTTATTTTGTTTAGCATAATATTCTCAAGGTCCACCCATGTTGTCCCAAATGGCAGTATTTCATCTTTTCTTCTTTATCCAATCCTCTATTCAAGAACACTTTGGTTGTCTCCATGTCTTGGCCACTGTGAATAATGTTGCAATGAATATAGGAGTGCATATATCTTTGCGAATAAATGTTTTAGAGTTTTTCCCTTAGGTCCCCCCAAAAAGAGATTATTGGGTCATATGGTGACTCTATTCTTAATTTTCTGAGGAACTGCCACACTGCTTTCCATAGTGGTTGTACCAGTTTACACTCCCGCCTGCAGTGAATGAGGATTCCTTTTTCTCCATAGCCTCTCCAATACTTGTTATTACTTGTTGAGAATAGCTATTCTAACAGGTGATAGCTGGTATCTCATTGTAGCTTTTATTTGCATTTCCCTAATAGCTAGTGAAGTTGAATATTTCTGTTGATCATTTGTATGTCTTCTCAGAGAGGTTTCTGTTCAGGTCCTCTGCCCATTTATTAATTGTATTATTTGGTGTTGAGTTGTATGAATTCTTTATATAGTTTGGATATTAACCCCTTGTTGGAGCTGTTGTTTGCAAATATCATCTCCCATTCAGTTGATTGCCTTTTGTTTTATTGATCATTTCTTTTGCTATGCAGAAGCTTAGTTTGATATAGTCCCAGTCATTTACTTCCCTTGCTTTGGGGGTCAAATTCATAAAATGCTCTATCCGACCAAGGTCCATAAGTTTAGTACCTATTTTTTTCTATATAATTTATTGTTTCAAATCTTACATTTAGGTCTTTGATCAATTTTTAATTATTTTTTTTTACATGGAGACAAACTGTAATCTAGTTTCATTCATTTGCATGTGAGTTTCCAATTTTCCCAGAACCATTTATTTAAGAGACTTTCTTTTCTCCATTGTGTTTTTTGGATCCTTTGTCAAAAATTATTTGCCCATATACATGTGGTTTTATTTCTGGGTTGTCAATTGTGTTTCATTGGTCTGTGTGTCTGTTTTTCTGCCAATACCATGCTGTTTTGATTATTGTAGCTCTGTAGTATAATTTGCAGTCAGGTAGTGTGATACTTCTGGCTTCGTTCTTTTTTCTCAGGATTGCTTTAGCTATTTGGGGACTTTTGTGGTCCCATACAAATATGGAAATTGTTTTTTCTATTTCTTTAAAATATGCCATTTAGATTTTGATGGGTGTTGCAATAAATCTGTATATGGCTTTGGGTAATAAGGCCATATTAACTATGTTGATTCTTCTAACCCATGAACACAGAATATCTTTCCATTTCATTTTGCTTTGTAGTTTTCAGTATGTAGGTCCTTCATACCCTTTGTTAAGTTTATTACTAAGTATTTTATTCTTTTGGTTGCACTTGCAAAAGGAATTGGTTTTTGTTTTCTTTTTTCATTTCTCTTTCTGAAGTTTCATTGTTAGTATATAGCAGTGATGGTGAACCTATGACATGCATGTCAGAGGTGACACGTGAACTCATTTTTTTGGTTGATTTTTCTTTGTTAAATGGCATTTAAATATATAAAATAAATATCAAAAATATAAGTCTTTGTTTTACTATGGTTGCAAATATCAAGAAATTTCTATATGTGACGCGGCACCAGAGTTAAGTTAGGGTTTTTCAAAATGCTGACATGCTGAGCTCAAAAGGTTCGCCATCACTGGTATATAGGAAGGCAGTGGATTTTTGCACATTGATTTTGTATCCTGCAACTTTATTGTATTTGTTTCAAAATTCTAATGTCAAAAAATGCCTGTATGATTTTCCTGGACAAGTTCTGAAAAAATGTGTGTGCCACAGACTGGTAAAAATTGATGGTTCGAATACTATGCTGCTGTAAAAAAGAAGGAATTCTTATCTTTTGCAACAGCATGGATGGAACTGGAGAGCATTATGCTAAGTGAAATAAGCCAGTAAATGAAAGAAAAATACCACATGATCTCACTCATTTATGGATAATTAAGACCATTATAAACTGATGAACAAAAATAGATACCGAGGCAGAGCAACAGAATGTCAAACTACAGCGGGAAGGCCAGGGAGGGTTGGGGGGGCGGGAGAAGAGATGAACTGAAGGACTTGTATGCATGCATATAAGCATAACCAATGGACACAAGACACTGGGGGGTATGGGAGGCTAGGGGAAGGTCAAGGGGAGAAAAAAAAGGAGAAAAATATAATACAAGTCTTTGTAATACTTTAAGCAATAAAACAATTTTAAAAAATTGATGGTTCATTTGTTCAATAAAGTTACTGAATGTCCACCTTGTACAACACACTGCACTGAGAGCTTTACAAAATTGAAAGGTGTAGAGAGAGTCACTGGTAATAATATGAAGAAATAAAGGCTAGAAGATGTTATCGGTGGAATAATTTATATTATAAGATACACTATATCTAAGCATTATCCTAATACCAATGTAAACATTTCTTCAAAATACCTTTTTTACACTACAGACAAACTAGAAAAAGAAAGAAGAAATGCATGTCAAGTTAAAAACTTAATGATAAAGAACAAGATAAACTACCTTGCCTGCTCCAGTAGATCCAGCAACTGCCAACAACTGTCCTCTTTCTATCTTGAAATTGATATCTTTCAGGACAGGAGTACCAAGAAGTGCGATGTTACTGAAGATGATGCTGTTATCGCCATTGCAGATGTTTCTAGTATTATTGTTTTGTTTTGCATTCTCAAATAATTCCCCAAATCCCTGTTAAGAAAAAAACAGAAAATTTAAAAAGTCAGCTTTCCAGATATTTTCAATAACTATTTATGTATGATGAATTTGAAAAGCACATGGTCCATGATCCATATATTATAGCACATAATTATATAGCCCATGATTTCTAGAGCACATGATCCAAAACAGTTGAAATGATAATTATGACATTTAATAATAACCATTTTAATGTCTTAGATTATTGCTAGACATCAAATTAAATTAAATATACCTATTTATCTATATAAGTATTTATATATACACCTCCTGTAGGTTGGGTACATAAACATTATCATTTAATCCTCAGCATAACAATAATATATGTGGCAAGTTTTGACAATCCCTTTCTTTCAAAGCTGTAGACTGTGATTCAGAGAGGTTAAATGGCAAAAGTCACATAACTAATAGGCTACAGTGGAATTACAGCCCAAATCTGACTTCTACTCTATCATGTTAGTAGTACATTCCTCTGAAAGGCTCAAATTATTTATTTAAGTAGTTATTATTAAACATAACCATGCTCTGGCAAGTGTTGCCTCATGGTTAGAGCATTGGCTTGTGCATGGAAGGGTGGCAAGTGCGATTCCTGGTTAAGGGCACATACCTGGGTTGCAGGTTCGATCCCAGCCCCAGAAGGGGCAAGTGCAGGAGGCAACCAATCCACGTGTCTCTCTCGCATCGATTTTTCAATCTCTCTCTTTCTCTGTCCTCTCCCCCCTGCCTTCCTTCCCCTCCCTCTAAAAATCAATGGATAAATATCCTCAGATGATGATTAACAAAAAGCAAATAACAACAAAAACGATAAACGTGACAATATTGCCAGATTATTTGAATGAATTCCATTTACACAAGAAGGCAATTGTGTCTTACCTAGCTTAGAATAGATTTCAGAAATGAATTGGAGAATAAGGGATTTTAGTTAACTATTTATTTGATTACTTATTTAATTTTTAATAATTTAATAAGTTAATATACATTAACTATCTTCATTTTTTTAAACCTTTATTGTTGAAAGTATTACATATGTCCCCCCTTTTCCCCCATTGACCCCTTCTAGCCTGCACCCACCCATTTTAAAGTAAAGTTATACTTTTTCTGACATAAAGTCAACTGATTGGCTTGATAATGATCACTGACTACATAAATTTATTTATCATCTTCCATAAATTGAATACACTGAAAGTGCAGCTCCCAAGTTTTGACAAAAATCCATTTTACATACAATAAACAGGAATTACATCTTTTGCCACCACTTAAACTTATGTTGAAAAGTTTATAAGTCAACTTAAACATGTGTCAGAGTTCATAGTTTTTCAAAATCCTTTTACATTTGAAGACTGCTGCTTTGAATCCTTATGTTATAGATGACTAATGGTCCCTCAGTCATCAGACAACTAAAAGCAAAGCTTTTAAGAAATAATCAATTAAGGTGTTAAAAAATGAGCCCTGGCCCTAGCCAGTTTGGCTCAGTGTATAGAGTGTCCACCTGCAGACTGAAGGTCTGGGGTTCGATTTTGGCCAAGGGCACAAGCCCAGGTTGTGGGCTCAATCCCCAATAGGGGGCATGCAGGAGGCAGCTGATTAATGATTCTCTCTCATCAGTGATATTTCTCTCTCTCTCCCTCTCCCTTCCTCTCTGAATTCAACAATAATATGTTTGAGAGAGAGAGAGAGAGAGAGAGAGAGAGAGAGAGAGAGCCCTGGATGGTTTGATTCAGTCGGTTGGGCATCTTCCTGTGCACCATAAGGTTGCCAGTTTGATTCTCAGTCAGCGCATGTGCCTGGGTTGCAGGCTTGTTCCCTGGTAGGAGGCATGCAGGAAGCAGCCGACTGATATTTTGCTCTCACATCGATGTTTCTCTCTCTCCCTCTCCCTTCCTCTCTAAAAATCAATTTTTTAAAAAAGTGTTAAAAAATGAGACAAAGGTATTTGTTATTCCCTTATTCATTTATTTATCAAATAGATTAAACTTATTGAGTATCACCTCTGTATTAAAGATAACTTCAAAGAATCCCACATGGGAGAATAACATGAATAAATATTAATATTGCAATGTGCTTAGTGCTACAACTGAAAATCATACCAAGTCCTATGGGAGTACATTAGAAGGAGCAGCCGACTCAGCCTGGAGCTTAACCAAGTAAATGATCTACACACCAGGCTATAAAGGATGTAAGTGGGACTTCACAAGACCAAGAAATAGTATACGTATTCTAGGAAGATGGGTCTGCATGCACAATGATTTAGGCTTCAAAGAACAAACTATGTGTCGGGAATGATGAGTGGCTGGGTCAGATACATATGACAAGATGACAAAGGCTGTGCTTGGTAAGGTGGGCAGTACAGGCTGTTAAGGAGATTGTGCGGCATGCTTAGAAGGACTTTTATCCAGTAAGACAGACTCGGACCAATGGCAGGTTATTGTTCATAATAACTTTGATTTCTAATTACAGAATTAAGATACTAATTTCAGGAAATTTGGAAAATGTAGAAAAGCAGAAAGAAGAAATTATCTATAGCACTACTACTGAGGAAAAAACCTTATTTAACATTTCAACTGATATCCCTCCACTTTTACATATAATATAAATGTACATAATATATAAAACCATATATAATTTTTACATTAATAAAAATTGTATATAAAGTTTGTGACCTGCTTTTCTGACTTTAAAAAGATGATAAAAATTTTCATATACCATTAAGCATTCTTCTAAATATATTTTGGTTGCAGGATAGTATCCAAGAGTATATATAAACTATATATATGTACTTTGCTACAAATATGGAGTACATTCTTTTTTTTTAGTATAAATTTTGGCAAGTGAACTTTCCAAAGAGAACAGGTTATAAAATTCCAAGTCCTTTGGAAAGTAGTTCAAAAATTTCCTCCATCAATATATGATAGTGATAGTTTTTCAAGGACCCTTATCAACACTGTTGCTTTTGTTATTTGTTTTGTCCTCTTTTATAGTTTTCTAGGTGAAAATGGAATCTCCCTATCAGATCTTAGCCTTATTTATTTGCTCCCTAGTAAGGCTGAACATTCACCATATTTATGAACCCTATATAGCTGTGAGTGGAATGGTTTTGATAGTATTTGTATTAATCTCACTTTTTGTTTCATCTTCTCAACTAGCTGAGTCATGGTTGACAAGTCATTATAACATTCTGAGCTTCAGTCTCCTGAGTTATTGAGGTAATATATATAAAGTTGTTTTGTATACAGTAAAGCAATAGTCACTCTTTAAAAAAGTTAGAGGCAGTGGAAAAGGGCTCTGCAGTCAGAGAAACTTAAGCTAATCTTCTAGCTCCACCCTATCTAGTTGTATAACCTCCTTCTAGTAACTTAAACTTTCTAAGTCTCAGCTTCCAACACATAAATAGAAATTCTACCTACTCATAGGTTTGGAGTGAGGAAGGAGTCATATATAACTCATCAGGGACTTACCTCCTGGATAACTGGGTTGATGGTGACGTCATCAAAGGAGAAAAAGAATATACTGGAAACTGGGGGAGTGATAAATGTGAAGGGCTTGAGGAGCATGTAGAAAATTTGGAATACATACATGAAGTTCAGGAAAGTGGGGCCAGAGATTTGCATTTGAGAGTCATTAACTCCTTGTCCTCAAGGGTGAGCCTGGGTGAGGTCACCCACAGAGAGCATGAAATGGTAGGAGACTTAGGTGGAGACTCAGTGGCCATCACTACTGAAATGGCAGGCAGGGATGACTAGAAGTCACAGTCTGAGGACACAGTAATGTGGAAAGTGAGGATACAGACAGACCCGAGTCAATGGTTCAGTGAAAGGGTTATAGGTGGTGACATTTGGGTCCAAAATCTGGCTTCAACTCTTGATAGTTGTGTGAGCTAAGCCAGGTACCTTCACCTTTCTAAGCCTCCATTTCCTTATCATTGAAATGAAAATGTTAATATTACTAGCTCATAGGACTATTTTGAGAATTAAAGGAGACAACACATACTTACTTTTAGGAGAGTGAAACTGAGGACTTTTGTCCAAGAGTAGGAAAGCAATTGTTTGAAAATAGTTGTGGAAAATGTCAAATTTATTTTTCCTTCATACCTAGAAGGGCATTTGAAATTTCTAAAAGCAAAAAAGTAGTATCAATCTGACCCACACACAACTTTGCTAGTCAGATAAAGAATTATTCTCTTGACCAGAATCCTAATAAAAGATAGTTTTAGGTAAAATGAAAAAAAAAAGAATTATCTCTTACCTATACCTTAAAACATGAAGTAAAGTGAAGTTCTGGTGATCATGTTGCTTATAAAACAAATTTAAGATATTGTATAGTATGTAGAAATAGGACATTAGTTTCATAACTCCTATCTTTACACAGATATCAGTGATAAGAAATAGGAACTCAACAGGGATTCTCAATAATAAGATATCAGATATTGCTTCATTAGAGGCTGAAAATCATTGATAAATATATTTTCTGACTTTGAGAAATATGAGGATTTTTTAATAATAAATTAAAATGAGCACAAATCATAGAAAACCATACATTGGTAGAGATCTCATACATCTTTATGTTGACTGGAGTCTGTAAAGCACTTGGCCTGGAACTTGAGATCAGATAAGGTAGCATTTATTGAGGAATTATTATGTGCATGGTATTCAGCTGAACACTTTACATAAGTCTGCCAGGTGAATATTAATATTCCCATTTTACAGATGGAGAATCAAAGGCTCCACAGAGTTCTATAACTCTATCTAGATTACACAGAGAACAAACAGCAGAACCAGGATTCAGATTCAGCTCTACTCAGATCCAAAATCAATGAACTTTGTATTACTTCCTGATATGTTATGTGAAACAAGTTATATGACTCAAAAAAATGTAAAGAGGTTTCAATACTCTATTTAACATTCCTGAGCCTCTATTTCTTAATCTATAAAATAAATAGAGTGGTTCGCCTTCCAGTTCTAACATCATTCTCATTGTCCATTAATATGAAAATGACATTCACACAAAAAAATGCTTAAGTATTGAAGTAAATTTTTTAAATTCTTACCTCTTCCCAGAAAGCTGTTACATTCTCCATCACTACTTCTGTAGTTGTTAAGTTATATTCCAATGTCTTGTACTCTTGCTTTTGTAAGAAATCCTGTTAATAAAGACAGAGCAAAAACATTGTTAAGTTATATTCTAATGTTTTATAGACCTTATAAAGCACCCTGCACTAACGAATTTGCCTCAATTGGGACGAAGAGAAAACCAGTATCTTTATCTTTTTGGCAACCCCACCCCTTTTTAGAAGCATCATTAGCATCACTTCTCTGGGTTAAGTAAGGGTGTGAAGTTCTGATATAACTGATCTTAAGGCATCAAACCTTGATTCTAAAAGGGTCCTATTAGAGACTCCCATTCACAGTGTTCTGTGGGCAGGTGGGAGCACAAGGAAGAATTAAGCCCAGGCATCCTGAAGTCTTCACCACCAGAGGTAATGAAACCAGCCTGGTCCCTGCCTCCTCGCTTTCCACCTTTCTTCTCTACTTTTCTCTCTCTTGCTACTTCAATTTTGGTTTCTCTCTTTTTCTCTAATTTTTTTTCAAGATCTGTGTTCCTGTTCAGTGGCCCCTCTCTGTCTCCGTGACACACTCATTTTCTCATTTCTGGTCTATATGTCTGTTCTTCTCTCTCTCTCTCTCTCTCTCTCTCTCTCTCTCTCTCTCACACACACACACACACACACACACCTGTGATGGTTTAAGAGAAGAAATAAGATTAGTCCAAGATCTGCTATGGTTTTGAGCTACACTCATCAATTTGCCTAAATTGCAGATCTCAAACACACTTTTGAAACATGATAAAATTAGGGAAGAGGACCCCTTTACTATATATTCCAATCCTTCAAAGGAGGCTGAAGATACAATTTGTTGCATATGTGACATCTTCTCATTTTAAATGCTGGCAAATAATTCTAATGTTTTTCTTCTTTTTAATGTGAAGGTCAAATAAAACAGGTCTAGGGGCCAAAATTAGGTCCATGGGCCACAATTTGCAAACTCTGGCCTAGATTAAATAGTGGCAGAACCATTTAAAAGTGGCTCACCTTTCATCACCACCTTTATGTATGTCACAGTGATTTATTTTCTGGGTTAAATATTTAAATAGTATTTTAAAAGTATAAAACATTTTCACCTGCATATTAATTATAAAAATTATAACCACATACAAGTTCATAGTAGTGATTAAATTAGCTTTGTATAAACTTGAGTCTCATCACTTGAGGATTTGAGAACTTTTCTTCAGAGCTCCCAGCTACATCAGCATTGCTGGGATTTTAAGGTAATTCATGTGATATAAAATGCCATTCACATCCACCATATTGCCCAAGGAAATACTTGGAAAAGTTTGAAGTGAATATTCCTAGAGTTCGCTGAAAAGTTCTTTAACTTCCTGGTAAACCTGCCAACATCTTTGTGCACATTTATCAAGTGCATGAGAATAACCTATTGATTGATGACTTGAATAAAATTCCTCAGAATACAGAAACAATATTTTCTGCAATTGCTTTGACTTGAGAGGATCTCACAGGCTTTTATTTTATTTCAATAAACTTCCATTACTAGGGCTTGTTAGACCACATATAGACGTCAAGAGAGAAAATTCTGAGCATCAAACAGGCCCAAGATAAATCTCTCTCCCTTCCTCTCTGTGAAAAGTCAATAAAATGTATTTTTTAAAAAAAAAAAAAAAGAGAGAAAATTCTGAGCATCAAACAGGCCCAAGACAGTCTGCCCACTATTAAAGTTCTAAGCTATTCTCAAATCATTGTATACAATACAATGCCCACTTTTGGTACGTTACCTGTATTTTGTTTATTGCTCCAAGAGAGTCATACCATGTCTGTACAGCCCAGGGAAACTGCCGAGTGACTGCCATGCGCAGAACAATGCAGAATGAGATGGTCGTGAATATTTTTCGAAGGACGACTCCTTTGAAAAATGCATAGGGAAGCACAGACAAAAACACCACAAAGAACCCTGAGAAGAAGAAGGCTGAGCTATTGAAGTATCTCACGTAGGCTGCCTTCCGGGTCAGTTTCAGTTCTGTTCTATAAAACAAAATAGTAAGATTTGGGATGCTTATTACTTTGCATCTTGCAATCTGAACACAGGCTCACAGGGCTCTGTGCCCTGTGGCAAGTTATTTAACTTATCTGAGCCTCAGTTACCTTATCTGAAAGAGGAATAGAAATGAATGCATCAGTGTTTTGTCCATAATACCTGTAAATATTTCTAAACTATAACTACTAAGCTCAATTATTATTACATTACTTTCACACCTTTATCACTTCATTATAATTAGTAAGATTTGTGAGACTTTGATAATTTTTTGTTTTTTGGTTGGTGTTTTAAGTGATTAGGTGTAATAATGAGGACAATGTTATAAGATTTATAAAGAAAAAGACAATTCTGTGATTCCCTAATAGGTTCTTAGCACTTTAGAAATTCTAGCTTAGCTTTGGGGAACACTAAAAATAGCATATATATAAGAGTGTTTCGAAGAAACCAAGATGGCGGCATAGGTAAACACCAGAGATTGCTGCCTCGTACAACCACTTCAAGAATACAATTAAAAGACAGAACGGGCATCATACAGAACCACAGGAAGGCTGGCTGAGTGGAAATACTACAATTAGAAGGAAAGAGAAAAGCATGCCAAGATTCAGAGGAGCTGCGGTGCAGAAGTTAAGTGCACAGGTACGGAGGCGGACGAGGAAAGGGCTGGCGGCTGAGGACACGGTTGGCTTTTTCAATTGAGAGGGAGTCTCAAACTCCCTACTGCTCTGAACTCCAGTTCCGGGCGAGTCTCTGGGGACCCTGACTAATACGGGGAGAGGCTAGACTGTCTGGCATTGTTCGCATCTCGAGGGCGGCTTTCTCTCAGAGGTGCCTGCAGCGATGACCCAGACACGGAGACTCGGGGCCTCTTAGGGAAGGACTGACAATCAGCCATAGCTGTTTGCTCCGCCCTATTGATCCCCTGGGACCCTGCCCCGCCCAAGCTGTGCACCACGGAGGCTTTTGAAATCTGAAAATTACCTAACAAACTTGCAGCTGGCCCAAGGCCCCAGGGCAACTTGCATTCCTTCACAGCTGAGCTCCAGCTGAGTAGCCTCAGGCAAAGGCTAGATTAGCACCTCCTAAAAGATCCAGGAACCAGTATACCCGGTGGTCAGAGTGACTAAGTGAGCACCAAAGCCCCACTGAAGCAAGTCTTGCCCCAGAGGGGTGTCTCCAGCACAGAAGTTCTCCCACTGCAGACACAGCTGATTCTCACAGCCAATTGGTCAATTCCTCCCAGTGATACCTACAACAATCAAGACTTAACTACAACAAGACTGTGCACACAGCCCACAAGGGGGTGCACCAAGAGAGTCCACCTCAGGTAATTGGG